TCTGGAAGAAAACACTAGATTTGGAGTTAAATTCTATTACTGCTACTTGCTAGCAGTGTGACTCGAGGAAATTTTTTAACTTCTTTGCGCTCTGATGTTTTTCATTACTAAAATGCAGGTTTGGGGGCCAGGGATTTAGCTCAGTGGCACCACGCCTGCCTCTCAAGTGCAAGGTTCTGAGTTCGATCCCTAGTACCAAAAAAAAAAAAAAAGAAATGCAAGTTTGGGCCAGGCATGGTGGCCCATGCCTATAATCCCAGCATGTGGGAGGATGAGGCAGGAGGATTGCTATGAGTTTGAGAGCAGCCTGGGCTACACAGTGAGTTCAAGGCCAGCCTGAACTACATACTGAGACTGTCTCAAAAAAAAAAAGTGCAGGGTTTTTTTTGGTACCGGAGTTCGAACTCGGGTCCTCGTGCTTGCACAGCAGGCGGTGAAACCACTGAGCTAAATCCCCAGCCCAAAAGTGCAGGTTTTAATATCTATGTCATAAAGTATTTGGAAGATGAAATGATATAAAATACGCAGAAAATTTTAATTATTAGAACAATTCTGTAAGGCAAATGCAATCTGCACTTTACAGATTTACAAAGGAGAAAACAGGTGCAAAGAAACCAAATGATCTGCCCAAGGTCACACAGGAAGCAATCAGAGAAGGCAACAACTGACACCATCTGACTGCAAACACTCAGGTGCCTGCCCTCTGCCCTCACAGCACAGGCAATTCCATCCCCCCTGGACCCTCTCCCCTGCTCTCTCACACATGGACAGGTTTTCCCTGTATGGCTCTTCTCCCGATGCCGGTGGGGCCTTCCCTACTTACAGTCCTGGACTAACTGAGTTGACTGGATGTGGCAGATACTGTACTCAATTTCCAACAATATGTATGTCATCAAAGCGTGTGTGTGTCAGAAATGAAGGAGACAGGAAATGCCCATAACAGCATGTAGCACACTGCTGGACCAAGGCCTGAGGGAAAAGACAGAGTGTCTGCTGTCCCATAAGGTACTGTATGCATCTATCATTCTGAGCTTCATTCTTACTATCATTCGTGACACCTTGCACTGAGGCTCCTCCTGTGTACAGACTTCACTATCACCCTCAGAATTTAAGTTCCATTACGTTGGCCAGAGTCAGAGTGGCACAGTGCCCTGGGATTAGCTTCACAGAGCACATGGAAGGCTGACTCCCTGACCCCAATCCACAGCAGGGCCTCTAAAGGGCCTTCACCAGGGCCACATAAAGATAGTAACTAGCCAGGTGGAGTGGTGCACAGCTGTAATCTCAGCACTCTGAGAGGCTGAGGCAGGAGGTCTGCAAGTTAAGAGTCCAGCCTGGGTAACGTGGTCCCTTAGTGAGATCCTGTCTCAAAAGAAAAATTTTTAAAAGGGCCAGAGATGTAGCTCAGTTCAAAGGCCCTGGATTCCACTCTTCCTACCACCATAAAAAAAGAAAAGAAAAGAAAAAAAGACAGTGACTTTCAGGAAGGCAATAAGAAGTTGTCCATCATCTTTAAAAATGCCAGGCAAGGGCCAGGGATTTAGCTCAGTGGTGCCACTGCCTGCCTTGCAAGCGCAAGGTCTGGAGTTTGACCCCTGGTACCGAGAAAAAAAAAAAAGCCAAGCAAAATCCTTTCTGCTAGCAGAGATCAAGAGACTGACCATCACCAAGAACTCAAAATGCAAAGGTGGAAGATGAGTGGAGGAGGCAAGCCATCAAGCAGGAAATCTCAGCCCTGAAGCTGAGAGACCTAAACATTTCAGTAGAAACTGGTTTTGTTTCCAGTTAAATTAGTTCCGTCCATCAATGTCCTGTTTGGTGTGCCAGTTGGCTCCCCGTTATGCCAGAAGGTGGTGCTAGAGAGCCTGCAGGACAGAAGCAGCAGGAACGGACTGGTTTCTTCCTGTGCCTGTCACTGACACCCTAAGTAGCAGCGCCAGTGTGTCCCTGAAGCTGCTTCCTCACACCTCCTGAGGATGCCTGAATTGCTTCTCAGAGGTTGGGTTCTGGCTCCTGGGGCCCCCTTGAGCATCTATGTTGTGATAACCCCCACTTCCTTGTGCTCTCTCAACCCAAAGAATAGTGGCTGTTTCTTGTCCCTGCCATGTTCCCTGTTCATCTATGCTGTCTTCCAATATCTGCCATATTGATTTCTTATATTAAATTAACTATTAAAATAATTTATGCAATTTCTGCTTTTCTGGTAGAACCTAACATAGCATACTCAAGAGCTGAAACTTCATCTATAACAGCAGTGAATAGCACAGATTCTGGGCTGGGCATGGTGGTGCATGCCTGTAATCCTAGCACTTTGTAGGTTGAGGCAGGAGGATTATGAGTACAAGGCCAGCCTGGGTTACATACTGAGTTCAAGGCCAGCTGAACTGCACAGCAAAACCCTGTCTCAAAAAAAGGGTGCCGACTCTGAAACTAGTCACAAGTAAGTAGGAATCCCAGTTCATCTACAAGGAGTGATCAAAATACATGATGAATGGTAAATGCTTAAATTTTAAAAATTTATTATAATAGCCGGGGATTCAGTGGTTCCACCACCTGCCTTGCAATCGCAAGGTCCTGAGTTTGATCCCCAGTATATAAAAAAAAATTATTACAATAAAATACACATTACCATTAACCCCCCTCAAAATACTTCCGCACACTGATCCCATTGTTTTTGGCACTTCTGAAGGAATTCTGGAAGTCCTCTTTCATATGTTTATGAGGTGTGATCAAAAAAAACAGTGAATGTTGCTGTCAAGTGCCACCCAACAGCAAGGCAGGCTTGTAAAAACACGAAAGTATGTCCTCATCCACCTTATTCATTGCATCTTGAGCCATGTGACTTCTGGTTCTTCTCCAAAGTCAAAATGTCCATGAAAGGTAAACAAATCAATTCAGGACATGAGAGCAGCCATGACAATACAACTGAAGACAGGTGGTTGAGCAGTATTTTGAGGGGGATTAATGGCTATGTCTCTATGTAATACATAAAAAAATTCAATATTCATCATATTTTTCTATCATACAGCATATAGTCATACCTACTAAGAATGGAAATTTTATTTGTTTGTTTTTGGTACTGGGGATCAAACTTGGGTCCTTGCACTTGCGTGGCAGGCGGTGAAACCAATGAGCTAAATCCCCGGCCCAAGGATGGAAATTTTAACTCACCTCTCTAGGTCTCATTTCCTTAATCACTTTCCTTTATACAATTAATAAAATCTAGTGGCCTACTCAGTACCAGGCACTGGGCTAGGCACAGAGGTATAATAGTGTGCAAAAGAAATTCCCTGACCTCCCAGGACTTCTGTCATGTGAATTAAAGGAGGCAACACAGGCAAGGAAGTGAGCACAGTGCAGGGCACACTGTCCTCAGCCTTCCTTTCCTTTTGGAGATGGTAGAGCAAAGACAAATGGACCTTGGATAAACAAGGGTATTAGTAGCTAGGTCTCTTCAGAAAATGAGACCAGAGGTTGTTCCCTAGCAGGTCAATGTCACACCAAGGATTCTTCTTGAGTGCTCTGTCCAGTCTTCCTGCTCAGAGCAGAGAAGCAATGCCCTTGTGGCAGCAGTCATTCAGAGGGAAATGGGACAAACTGGCCCTAGAGAGGGAACACTACAAGGTGGCATTGTAAAGAAATTCTGAGGAGACCAGTACCCATGCTACTGGGCACCAGGTGCTGATGGACAACAAAAGCTTCAATGCATGGCTGGGACTGGGGGTCCAGAACGGCACAGAGGGGAAGAGGAAGACATTAGAAGGCTGTCACTCCAACATCAGTCACAACAGACTTTGTAAATATGTAAGAGATCCCAATCTATGCTTTCTGCAGCTGGACTGTACACCAGAGAGGCAGTAAGAGGAAAAGAAAGATTCCAGGTTCTATTTAAGCTTGAACCAAGTGAAAGCTGGAAAGAAATCTAATCTCTACATGTTGACATAATTGTTCCTTGGGCTTCTATTGTCCAAATCAAGCATTTTGGCACGGACGGCCAATGTTCTTATTAGTATGAAGGTGTTTCTGTAAGACTGCTGTGTGGCCAAATTCTCAAAAGCTGTATGTATCTACAGCACACTACATACTCCCCATTTTTTTTACTCATTTTGACATGATTATGACTATCAAAAGTCATACTGAAGGAAAGCAACCATGGGAAATTATTATTAGAAGGTCTATTCCACAACATTGCCCTAGGGCCTTGTTATAAGCAATTTACTATCGCTGAAGGAATTTAGAGTTCCATAAGGCATGAAAAGCCTGAAGAGTTTTATTCATAAATAAATGTCAACACTTAAAGAATAAAGACAGTTTCAAAACTCCAAGACTATTGAAATGAACAATTTATACTGCCTGGATGATTTATTACAGTGGTTTATAGTCCAAATGGTAAGATAATTCAATTCCACCTGAAGAGTCATTATGTGGACAAGCCTAAGAAAAGTACTCTGGGTGAGAGGTAATATTTCTTGGTGTTTCAATTTCAAACAAATTATTATTTCTGTATTTAGTACATCACCCTGGCAATTCCTTTCATGATTTGTAGCACTCTTCGGCAATTAAAAATTTTATAAGGTTAAGGAAATAGGGTACAAATGCCAAATTCAAAATGATCCACAGAAAACTGAAGAACCCCCAGAGAGCACTGATGTCTGAGACATAAGGCAAAATAATCCTTTCTGCGCAAGAAAACTTCAAATGAGCTGTGAGTGTGCATCACAGCAAGAACATTATTACCCAGCAGAAGCAACCTGCTAAACAGACTCCTAACAGATGTGAGCAAAAGGTTCCTCCTAGGAAATGGAGAAATTTCACTTGGCACAATGTCTTCAATATGGTACATGGCAGTTTTCCCTGTTAATCCCCTTAACACACATTCACATCAATCATGGAGAATCTGTAATACAGTCTTGGACTTGGAGGATGACTGGCCCAGGCAGGTAAGGGCAGAAGGGCCCTGGCCAATCAGAACAGCTTCTGGTATTCCTGAGCTTACATACCATCCAGGCCATTGTGATGACTGTAGTTTCTTTTCCCCAGAATGCTCAGAGATGCGTGATTCGGGGTGGTTAGCATCCGCTTGGTAGCTGGGGTTTGCAGGGTTGGTGCAGATCGAATTACATTAGGTTTCTTCGAAGGATGGATCTCTGACAGGAGGGAAAAAGGTTTCTCAACTCACAGCAAGGTATTATATTCTCTATGCATTCACACTGGCTGATGGCACACATCTTATTTCTTAATGAGCTGAGAGTCAGGTCCTCATGAGCCAGCCACAGACTTGCATAATGAAGTAGCTCCAAGTGGTGTTGCCATGGCTTTGCTTATCAAGTAATCGGTTTTCCCCCTGCTGGTCAGAGCCTCAGGTTGTGAATACAAATACAGAAAAAAGCCACTTCAGAAGGTCACTTAAGATGTGAGATTTACTAAGGGGATAAAGCATCTGACGCTTCAAGGTATTAGAAATTAAATGACTATCTGAAGAGGTGACCTCAGAAAAAACACCTCTGCTCTGTCCTGCCCAGAACATGGAGCATGTCTGGTGTGTGAGCTTTTAGAAAAGTAGGACTCCTCCTCTGGCTCTGCCACCAGGGTGTGGGACCAGGGTCAATCACTCCCAGCCCAGATTTTTTGATAATATATAAAATCTGAAACCAAAGTCCAAATCAATAGTCAAATAATAGGTGGAATGCTTTGACCAAAGTCATGTTTTTTTAAAATGGGAAATGTAGGTGGTGTCTGTGCTTAAGTATATATTGTTGTGAGCCACACAGCCCAGAACTATGACTTTTTGTAGATGGACAGATTGCAATACTGTAGGACTTTGATATAAGGACCACAGTATGTTACCAATACCTTTTCTCCAAAGCTAAGCCTGCTTGACAACTATGTGCAAAGCCACTCTGTCTCACCTCTCACCCAAGGTGAGGGCCAACACAGCCTGATTTACTGAAATTTAGGAAGAGTCATTTGAATTGTTAGAATTTCTACATCTTGGTCAAAATCTTGCACTTGTCAAAATCTAGGAATGGCTTAATACTACTCCCCAAATAGTGGTTTTTTTTTTTCAACTTGGCATTGAAAGTTTGGCAGTCTCATTTTTCTTTACAACTTCCATACCCTATACTCCATCCAGACCAGACAATTTACTTCCCTGAATTTTCAGGTCTTTAGACTTACTGAAGCCTTTGTCCATCTAGTTTTCTTGGCTTCCTGAGTAACATCAAAGATGGAACTATGAGCTTCTGAGTACAGGGACACATTGATGAGGACCAGATAATTTACCAAGTTCAAGGAGCTCCACTCTGATTTTTAAAAGTATGGATGTCTAAATTCTGAATACTTCATAACTATAACTCTTTCTGACAGAACAATAAGGTTAATGCAACTCTGAGTATATATTTCACTTTTACGAAGACAGTGAAAGAGAAGTATTAGAAGCACAAAAACATGCCATTCTTGCTTCTAGTGTATGGTGACCCACTTGTTTTATACACTATTCATCTTAAAGCTTTTAAAAGTTCTTAACAATATTTTAATATTCCTATTTTAAAGTATTCCTAATTGTGATCTTTCTTTCTTTTTTTCCCCCTAATTGTGATATTTCCACATGTGAATGGAACCATAATCTTTGGAGATTTCTCAGTTAGATGGCGTAATAAAAACCAAGAAGCAATACAAATGCTTCCCTTTCAAAGTAAACCTTAATTGTCTCACTGAAAGTGTAATTTTGAGGGGTGGGGGTATGAGGGATCAAATCCGGTGCCTTGCACATGGTAGGTAAGTGCTTTACCACTGTGCTATACACCCAGCTGTTCAGTATTTTGAAAATGTAGGCTAAAGATCAATTTGATTTTTTTTTAAAAGAAGAATGTAAAGCCTGATGTGGTGGTGCACATCTGTAATCCCAGCACTCAGGGTGCTGAAGGATCACCATGAGTTTAAGGCCACCCTGGGTTACAGAGTGAGTTTAAGGCCAGTCTGAATTACAGAGCAAGACTCTGTCTCAAAAAACAAAACAAAGGCCAGGGATTTAGTTTAATGGCACCGTTCCTGCCTGGCAAGCAATCTGGGGTACCAAAAACAAAACAAAGAAAGTAAAGCAATCCTCTATCTAAAGGAAGGAGTGAGGTAAATTAGAGATACAGTGGTACCTCGATACTCATTGTTAATTGGTTCTGAGAGGCACAATAAATACTAAAAGCAACCAGTACCAAACAAGCTTTTGGCTGGAAAGGGTAGTGAGTCACAAGACAATCAACACCAATATTTCTAACTTGCAGGTTGAGTACCAAACAAAGGATGAGTTTCAGAACAAATTTTTGCATCAAAATATGTCAAGTACCAAATTTGATGAGTTTCAAAGCAGTCAAGTACCAAGATATGACAGTATAAAGAACTAAATAAAAATATTAAGAATACTTACCCTATAAATAACTGAATTTATTCCCCTTTTTTGCTTAATCTATTGCCATGAAAATAATTTTTACGCTATTATGTTTTGCAAAAAGTAAACATATATCAGGCTGGGGATTTAGCTCAGTGGTTTTGCCACCTGCTGCGCAAGTACAAGGACCTGAGTTCAGTCCCCGGTACCAAAAAAAGAAAGAAGAAAAAGAAAAAGTAAACATATATCCATAATTCTGTGCTGGTAATAAAGTTTCTAAGCCAAAATAAACTATACATACATATTAAATTCCACCCATTTGAAAGGCTTGAATTTAGTTTAGATATACATTTAAAATGGCTGAGTGTAACACGTAGAAATTATTTTTTCTTTTCCTCCATTAGAAAATACCCACCTAAATACCCAATGATATATGCCAAAGGCTTCCTAGTGCTTTTGCCTTTCAGTGGACTTCCAGATAGATCAGCATGTCTGTCTGCATCTGAGGAGAGAAAGAAACACGGAGACAACCAATGAGGCGGGTTTCTCTACCTATATCACCCACACTGCAGAAATAAAAGGTGCAAGTGGAAAACAGTGTAAAATATCTACTATACTCCTGCATGATTTCCTTGTGGGTTTAGGAAAACTGTTTCTAGTTCTGGATCTCAATATTGAATGATGGATTTACATGAGAACACTCACTTGAAAGCCCTGTGTGAATGCTGCTAATACACATCACCCACACACCTTAGTGTGTGCCCACCTGAAAAGTGATAGAAATATGCTTCTGTTCTAGCCATTCCCATGGTATAGTAGGAAAACACCCATAGTACAAAGTGAACCAGTCCTAACATATAACTACTCTGGTTTGAAATGACAGCTGACAGAGGCAACACAGTCAGCCATCCCTTAGATGGGGTGGGTTCCTTAATGCCAACTCTTCACTTATCCTGCCAAAACAATTCTATTAGATAAGACCCTGGCAAGATTAAGAAGATGGCCATTTGTTTTCCTGTTGTTTTTGGCACCGGAAATCAAACTCAGGACCTTGTGCTTGCCAGGCAGGCACAGTGCCACTGAGCTACATCCACAGCCCCTATGGCCATTTGGTTTTATCACAGGTTCTCTACCCATCCTATCCTGCTATGACGTCATTTGTGCTGAGATGTTAAAAGGTTACCTGTACGCAGAGTATTTCATCTGTCAGAATAAGATACTGTGAGGATGGATATTAGCTCATACAAGTTTTCATCATACACCTCATTCCCTATCATGACATTTTAGATGAATAAAAAGCATATAACAGTGTTTTAAATTAACTGTCACTAGGAAGAGTAGATGTGAAACATGCATGTCTCTCATACCGAAAGTTGATATAAAAAGTTGGAAGACAAAAAACAAAATGTGCATTGAAACTTTTTAAAAAATTGAGATATTATCATAAAGCTTAACAGAGTAGCTTTAGTTTATATTATCCTATGTTTATGCCTTTTCCTCATCTTCAGATATTTGACAAGAATGTCATACAGATTTTCTGATTCCATTAGAGAATTTTCCCTTTTGCGAGTTCACTTTTCTAGGAATACATAAGGAACTATCCTTTGACATCCTTAAGAATTCTTTGCATTAGTGTTAAAATGTTAAAATGTGCAAAAATGTGCAATTCAATCTGGAACCTCAAATAATTTAAAGTAAAAATTTATTTGTCATAAGCTCCACCCCTTTCTCCAGGGAAACGTTTTCCTAGAAACTATAAACAGGTGTGAAAATAGCACTTTAAAAAAAACACTAAAATTAGCACATACTGCAGAGCGCCTCAAAGATCAGGAATCTGAGTATGTACCCCAAGCACTAGGGAATTATCATGTAACCACTAACAATTATAAATGATCCAACTGCTTTTCCTCCTATTCAGTTGATTCTTTTAGGGAAAAAAATAAATTATGAAGCTATGAAGCTTTTCACCTGTTGTTGAGTAACGTAAAGATACAGGGAGAAATATCAAAAAACATATTTTGGAGGTATAATCTAATAAACATCAGGAAGTGCCCCTAACCCTGCAAGGACCAAACATTAATACTACATAATTCCTTCCTAGCATCACTACATCACTGAAAATTCAGGTTATTTGGGAAAAGGAGAAAACATTCTTCTGTATTAATAAAAGTTTGAATCACATTGGTTATTTCCTCAGTTATGTTGGACAAAGTGAACTGCTTTGTTACTAGTAATAAGACTAACTTAGCTCTTTATTCCAGTCTATAAGGCCCAAAGGACAGCTAGCTGTCAATACGGCTGCAACTGAGGGACACTGATGTATACTATCACTTTGACAAGAATCAACAGATCCATCAAAGGGATCATTGACACAATAACCAAAGATATTTCATTTTAAAATATATTAATTTGCTTTTCTCATTAAATTAGTAGGATTAATGATATGATGTTCCAAGTGAAAATTTATTTTTTATTTATTTTTTGGTACTGGGGATCGAACTCAGGTCCTTGCTCTTGCAAGGCAGGTGACAGAACCACTTAGCTAAATCTCCGGCCCCAAGTGAAAATTTATATTACAGGGTTCCTCTGATAGAGATCAAAGCTCTTCACAAGGATCCATACTTCACTAATTCTATAAAGTAGTTGGTAGCAAGAATTATCAGTCTCAATTATAAAGAAATCAGAGTGAAAGGTGCTAAGATGACCTAGTCAGTTGAACACAAGAAAAATGGCAGCTACAGTATTTAGTAGGAAGAAACCATTCCACCCCTAGGGAATGAGCATGAATAGGGTTAGTGCCCAGTGGAGTAATCCTGGTCCTACTCAAGATCAAACTTGGTGCTATCTATCAGTCAATCCTTCCTTCTAAATTACTCACCCATTTCTACTTAAACGGAAAGGCATTAAAAGTGCACAGATGAGAAAGCAACCTAAGAAATGCCCCCAAACCAAGGAGTCTACCCAGAGGTGGAAAACACCTGGATCTCAAGTCACTTGACTGGGCACATGATTCTTTAGCTTCCTACAGAATGATCTGCTGCTTCCTTGAGATAAACATGGAAGAACACTGTCACTTTTATTGCAATAATGGCCATTTTTCTGCAATGTTTTGAAAACACTGGGGTAATGGAAGTGAGACAGAAAAGCCGCAATTATAAAAACTCAGTTAAAATTCACAAAAACATCTACATCAGCTTTCAATATCCCTGTCAAAATAAAACCATTGGTAGGATTAGTTTATAGAACTGTAAAGTTATTATTATTATTTTGGTACTGGGGATTGATGTAAAGTTATTATTATTATTTTTTTGGTACCGGGGATCAAACTCAGGTCCTTGCGCTTGCACAGCAGGCGGTGAAACCACTGAGCTAAATCCCCGGTCCTAAAGTTATTTTTTAACACGACACAAAACCCAGGTATTACAAAACAATTTTCTGGGGCCAGGGATTTAGCTCAGTGGTTCTGCTGCCTGCCTCACAAGCGTAAAAGACCCGAGTTCAATCCCCGGTACTCCCCCAAAAATAAATAAATAAAAATTTAAAAAATAAAATAAAACAATTTTTTGTTCTGCTTTGTTTTTTGAGGCAGGGTCTCCCTTTGTAGTTCAGGCTGGCCCTGAACTATGTAGCCCAGGCTGGCTTCAAACTCAAAGCAATCCTCCTGCCTCAACCTCCCAAGTGCTGGGATTACAGGCATGCACCACCACACCCAGCTTTTTTTTTTTTTTTCAGGTGCTTTTGCTAAGCAGTTCAGGCTGGACTTGAAGTCACTATGCAGCCCAGGCTAGCCTTGAACTTGTGGCAACTTGCCTGCCTTAGACTCCCAAGTGCTAAGATTTCAGGCGTGTGCCACCACACATGGCAAAACAATTTTTACAAATAATGCTCTTTAGAAGTTTTAGCAAATGTAAACAAAATCAAAAACAAAATGTAGACGTTTGCATCACATATATGATGGAGCTAACGTTGTTAAAATATGTGAATTTCCCACGTGAAGACTTCTAATAGAAAACAGATCATGGGGCTGGGGATTTAGCTCAGTAGTTCCACTGCCTGCCTCACAAGCGCAAGGTCCCGAGTTCAATCCCCGGTACCTTCACCCCCCAAAAAGAAAATAGATAATGGGCATAAAACAGCTGATAGAAAAGGAAATGTAAATGGCTTTCAAAGATATGGAAAGGTTATGTCATTAGAAACGTGAAATGCAGGGCCGGGGATGTAGCTCAGTGGACCCATGCCTGCCTGGCCAGCACTGGGTCCTGAGTTCGATCCCTGGGGTAGGCAAGGGTGGAAAATGCAAGCTAATGTATGGGGTATTTCCCCCCATCAACTAGTCCAGACCTTCAAAGGTGAGTGACAACGTTGCTGGCACAATTTTAGAGAATCAGGTTCTGGGGATGTAGGTGAAATTGTAAACTGCGATTTTTCTTAGGACAACTGTGCAAAGCCCATCAAAATTCAAAATGTGTGTTCTATCTAGGCTGTCATGTTTAGGGGTCTACCTTATAAAGCTGTTGTTGTTTGCGGTTTTGGTGCTGAGGACTGAACCCCGGGCCTTAAGAGCATGCTAAGCAGGGGCTCTATCATTGAGCTACCCCTCTAGTGCCCCAAGATTCCAATTTCATTTTTGGGGGGTACCAAGGATAGAACTCAGATATTATCTTTGTTTTTGGTACCAGGGATCGAACTCGGGTCCTTATGCTTGCGAGGCAGGCGACGGAACGACTGGGCTAAATCCCCAGCCCTGAAGATAGAACTCAGGACCCTGGGCTTTTGAGGCAGGCGCGGTGCCACTGAGCTGCATCCCTGGCCCAAGATTCCAATTTTAAGTATCAGGATGAAATGATATCCATAACAGGATACTAGCTGCAACATTAGAATAGAAAATATTAGAAATAGCAAAAACCTTTAGAGAACTGGTTAAATTGTGGTACAATAAATTATTGTGCAGCTGCGCCTCCCAAATTAGCTCTCAATGTATTAGCATTAAAAAAATAGACAGTGTAGAACAATGGGATTGTAACATCTATATAAAAACAAAGAAGGGCTGGAGACTTAGCTCAGTGGCGCTGTGCCTGGCTGACAAGCAAGCACAAGGTCCTGAATTTGTTCCCCAGAACCAGGAAAAATAAAAATAATAAAATAACAAAGAATACACCTACATGGATTCTTAAAGATCCCCAGAATACCTCTGGATACTTAAAATGATGACAATGGGGGCAAAAGCAACCAAAATTGATAATGATTACCTCTAAAAAGGGTAAATCAGGAATGAGCGAGATGATATAATTTGTAACCACTTTTATGATTTAAAAACTTTTAAGTATCCATTTGAAAATATACATCTCCAAAACAAAACCCACCATTCTGTATAACACGAACTAATTAAGAAAAAAAAAACAAAAACCTAAAGAATGGTGGCCACTAAAAACTTATGAAATATAAGCAAACCCAAACTGTTCTCTCTTGTTGTTTTGGACCTTAGAATTTCAGAAAAGCTGTACAAATACTAATAGTATCTTGCTGAGAAGTGACTAACAAATTTCCCACGAATGGGCTCTTAGGATACTTCCAAAGTTGAATTCAGATCTTCAAATACTGACTCCCCCCAAAATGTCACATTGAGGAGCAGGGATGGTGGCACATATCTGTAATCCCCAAAACTGGGAGGTGGAGACAGGAGGATTGCTGTAAATTTTAGGCTAGTTTAGGGTATATAGTTGAGTTCAAGGCCAGTCTAAACTACATAGTGAAACCCTACCTCAAAAATCATACAGGGCCGGGAATTTAGCTCAGTGTTACCTCTGTCTGTCTTATAAGCGCAAGGTCCTGAGTTCGATCCCCTGTACCCCGCCCCCCCAAAAAAATCACACAAAAAAAGGTCACGAGAAACACAGCTGCCGTGCAAGGCTGGTGTGTTAATTCAGAACCACTTAATTATCTATACACGCTACCCTAGTGACTGGGAAATCATCTGGACTTATGTTTCTAGGAACTTTGGTTTCACTTGTGGAGTTGCTAACATACATACTTCTACTTAATTTCTACTTTTTTTTTTTGGTACTGGGGATCGAACTTGGGTCCTTCCGCTTGCGTCTTCTACTTAATTTCAATCCAAAGAGGCTGACTCTCAAACAGTGATCATCTTGTGAACAGAGTCATCTGGCATCTGCAGGAACTGTCTGGTAGCATTAACAAAGAATGAACAGCATTATCACACTGCAGCTTTTTTACTGGGGGGAGGATAATCGAAAAGGAGTCAGGATGTCTAAACATGATGGTTTACAAGCTGTGCTGTTGGGGCACATCCCATTAAGGACATAGTAATTTTCTTTATGCTATCTTGGATTTTGGTTTACCAGCCTTTCTGGGGGGGGGGGTAGTGCTGGGGATCGAACTCAGGACCTTGTGCTTGGGAGGCAGGCAACCGAACCACTGAGCTAAATCCCTGGTCCTACCAGCCTATTTTTATTTTTATTTATTTTTAGTACCGGGGATTGCACTCTGGTGCTAGTGCTTGCGCAGCAGTCGGCCCATACCAGCCTATTTTTAATAAGCACGATCTGCATAGTACAATTGGCTAGGACATTTTGGCACTTACATAGTCACACATAAAGGTATATTATTAAATAGGTATTTGGGAAATAGGTATTTAAAATACACATTTAAAAATCACTTTCATAAATATATAACTCATGTATTTTTTTCCTCATGCATATTATTAAATGTTAGTAATATTTTTTTCTGGTTTGGGAGCGGGTACTGGGGATGGAACTCGCGACCATGCGCTTGAGAGGCAGGCATGGTGCCACTGAGCTAAATCCCCGCCCCTCTGTTTTGGTTGAGATGTCTTGCTACATTATGTAGTTCAGGCTGGCCTCAAACTTGTGGCACACCTCCTGCCTCCACTTCCCAAATGCTGGGATTACAAGTATGTGCCACCACTTCAGTACTTCAGTTTTCAAATTACTTCTTTAATAGGAAACGTTTTCATAGTTCAAATTGAGAAAGTTTAAAAGGATGAAGGAATCTCCCTTCCACTGGTTTATCTTCTTTTCACTTTTCCTTAGCTTCCCTTCCAACAGACATTATTTCTTATGAAGATTGCCCTTTGTACTATATTAAATGTCTTAGTACACATTTCTTAATGAAAATATACATCAGAGAACTCTGCAACCACTCAAAAATTTTTCCTCTAAGAAGAGATTACCTCATAGATCAAGTACTCAGACCTGTGATCATGCTATCCCTAAGCTACTTGAGTTTATCTTCTCTGCTTGCTGCTTCTCTTTCCAGTCCACAGCCCCATAAATTCTGGCTATGACATTGCTTGTGATGTCACCACCAAGGCTAGAAGCTACGAAAGGGGTCAATTTCTATAGTACTTATTTTAACAAGTTGCAAGCTCACAGAGTTAACAATTTTCCTTTCTCAACATAATGATCAATTATTCTAAAATGGATTAATCAGAACTTTTAGTCTATCAATATTATAGAATTACAAACTTCCACCTGATCTGAAAGTACGTTCACACTGCATCATAGTGATTCAAGTTTTTTCAGGTGGGGAGCGGGTTCAACAATGCCTTTGAGAAACCAGGGAAAGCTTACTGGAAAATATATACCTATTCATTTCCAGGACACTACAGACTCAGCTGCCTATAGACATAACATTATTAACACCTAATCTTATTAACAGGGATCTGGTTCTTATCAAGGGATCAATCTTCTTATCAAAGAATCTGCTACAGAGGTTATACAAGCTACATATAAGAAGGGACAAACTGATGCAAGAATCAATTAGATGGTAGGAAAGTTCATTAGCTGACTGGCTGAAAACCAAAAGTAACTGAGTGGATGGCTACACAAACACTGCAATTTTAAAGCCAGGCATGGTAGTGAATGCCTGTAATCCCAGCACTTGGGATGGGGAGGGGGTTGGGGGGGGCGGGGAGGTAGGAGGATTGCTGCTAAATTCAAGGCTACCCTGGGCTATACAGTGAGTTCAGGGCCAGCCTGAACTACAAAGTGACACCCTGTCTCAAAACAAAAAGGCCTGGCGATTTAGCTCAGAGGTTCCGCTGCCTGCCTCAAAAGCACAAGGTCCCGAGTTCAATCCCAAGTACAAACAAACAACAAAAACGACTGTAATTTTAAAATTATTCTAAGAATTGGATTCTATGTGGACCTCATCATCAATGAGTAAATGAATAAAAGAAAATAATTATCCTCTTTGAATCTCATTCCAACAGATGACTTCATTATTTTCTACAAACTGAGAGAAATAAAACACAGGTAATTTAATCACACACCCCCATTTTAGCAGCATGGCCTTTCAAATGGGGGGAAAAATTAAATGTGACAGAAAAACATACTCCATTCAAGATTAAAGATGATGTGCAAATTAAATGAAAATTAACACACAGCCAAGGGAAAAGCAGCTTCCTCAGTAGCCAATTAGGTTGGTAGTAGTTTCTTCTCCATTACAGAAATTGGGTCTTCAAATTTAATGGAAGAACTGCAACCATTTTCTTTCTTGTGTTCTAATTGTTCTGTTTTAAGAAATTATATGTATGTTTTAAACCAACTAAAGTTAAGATCAATACATTTATTCTCCAGTTGCTTAAAATGGGTAAGAAAGTGGTAACATAAATCCATTAACTCACCCAAAGATAAGCCTAAACTCTCAAACAGACATGAATGTAATGTGGCTCCCTGTCCCTGATAATACACTGACATTACTGCCAATTTCCACTCCCTTTACAAAGGACTTTGCTTCTTATACAGCTTTTACCAGTAACTTTTAGAGCTTCTCAACTTTCAATTTTCTGCTGAAAATTATCTTCAGAAACAAAAAATGATTTTTTTCAGTCATTCCTTTCATGGATATCCTCTTTAAATCAAAGTGGAAAATCTCATAATTCGACTTCTTATATCACACATCAAGTATCTGAATCTATTTAAGGTTTCCTATCTTAAGTCAGACAGCAAGTTATCTTACTCCTCAGGGGAAAAGGTTGAATGGCTCTGCTATCCAGGACTAACACTCCAGAGCTAATGCTCCAATTCCATGCACATTTCCAGATACACGGCAATGACAGAACAATCCACAGTTCTTTGGTACATATGACATTTGTTCTAACAAAAAAAGGAAACATAAGCAAGACCGAATGTGTTGAAAACAAGAGTAATGAGTTATGTACATGTTATATGATAATACATGATTACGAAATGGAAACCAAATTGAACAGACTATTCAACCACAAATTTAGATGCTAGCTTAAAAACTAAAAATGTACTTTCAGAAAATTCACCCCAAAATGATTTTAAAGTTTATTTATAATTTGTTAAGCCTTCTAATAAATACAGCATTTGTTATGAAGCCCTGTGAATTTCCATAATGTTGTATGATTGTAAAGGTTTCATGAAAAAATGAGTTTACAGGCATCCGCTTTCTAATGAGTATGAATTAGTAAATTTTATTTAGAACTAACGAATCCATATAAGACTGGACATGCTGTCTCAATTAGGGAGTTTCACTGTAATACCATCCTTGGGGGTTATTCTGTGATATTGCCTCACAGGTAAAACTGCTTCAGTAAGAGCTCTTTTGGCAATTCCATCACAAAACCCCGCTGGACAGGTTTGCCTCCCACCTTTTCTGCTGAGCACTATTCTCACAGAGATTTCAATGCCCGTCCCCCTTGGCATGATACAAATGGCAGCAGACAAAAACAATGTTAAAAAAAAAAAAACCAAATAAAAGGCTGTACACAAGAACTTATGTTTATTGCAAACAAACAAACAAACAAAAAAGAGAGAGGGAAAGAAAGAAAATGGTCAGAAAAGCACAACATGTAAGATTAAGAATTTAAAAACGTCTTACATTCTGCCCTAATGGCAGCATAATTAATAGCAACAAACGGACGTCTTGCTGCCTGCCGCAATCGAAGGGTATTTTTGCAGACCTGACGAGCAAATTTTGTGAAATATGTTGTGTGGAGGAAGAAAGCTTGGCGCGTCTTCACAGCAGACTTTGGGCTCCCAGTGTTTCGGACTGGCATTCCCTGCATGGCCTGCCGGGACAGGTGACTTCTAACTCGGGCATCCTGCAGAATCAGAAACCACAAACATTTACAGAAGAGAAGTGGTCCAAACACATTACCATGTGCATCACGTTCAAAGAAAAGTCTAATTTTTAAATCATTCACTGAGGCATCTATAACCTAGGATCCTACCCCTAAAAGACATTTAAAAAGTGTGTGCTTTTAGGAGAAATGTGAGGAGAATAAAAGGGAACTGGTGGGAGTGTAATACAAGAATCCCAAATCACATACATAATAGTAAGAACTTACAAAGCGGCTGGATTTTTTATTATTAAGGAGTCATGAGTTCACATTAGGACTGAAAGAGAACAGTCGGCCTCTGGTGAACACAGGTGCTTGGCATCCTCAATCTATAAGGACTTCACCAAAATCGTATTTCTACCATTGCTCACCTCAAGATTGAGTCCAGTACCTTCTTACCTCTCCACAACAGCCAGGCAGAGAGAAAAATGTTCGATTTGTGTTTACTACTTTAAGTAATAAGATGTTTTCAACAGCATCTAAAGGTTACAAACTGTTTTCCAAAGCAATTAAAACAAACACTTAATTTGTAAGCTCTCTACTTATGCTGACGCCACCCACACACATTATTCTTTTGTCTGAGCAATCTCACAAGATCAATATTTTGAAAACCTGAATGGATTTCTCCTCATTCCTCTCTCCACACTCACCCTGAATAATGTAGCGCTATGTTTAGCTATAAAAATAGACTTGTTCATTTTAAAATTATCCTATACTGTACCTCTCTTTCCAAGGAAAGAGCCAACTATTGAAAACCATGACATTTTCCAGCAATGAATACTATTTCATATACCTCTGATGACTGGCTGGGAGATAACTTCTCCTCTTCTGACTGGGTGGGCATTTTAAGGCCTCCGTACTTTTTCCAATACAGCCAACAAGTTGCACACAATCTACATTGCATGTTAGGTGGGCCCCAGGAATACCACTGGTGAGATTGTGTAGCTAAAGATGGAGGGGAAAAGAAAAGATACTATGAATTCTGTGACATGGATAGAAATACAATCTAATCTCTCAAAAATATCCGAAAGCTACTCTTAGTTTACAATGTTAACTTTTCTTCCCCCAGTTTATAAGTCAAACACCAAAGTACAACATATATACATATTTTCCAAAACTAAGAATCCATTAAAGCACTGATTTCTACTATGTATTGATTGCCTGTGGCATCTAACAGAAGTTATTAGGTGAAGCATCTTATACATTGTTCTGCTCAGGGAGTTTTTGTTTTGCTATTTAAAAATGCTTTAATTACGTATCTGGAAATAAGTTTTCAGATATTATTATTATTATGAATGACGGAGATGAGACAGGATCTCACTATGAAGCCTGGGCTGGCCTTGAACTCAATGGCAATCCTGCCTCAGCCTCCTGATGGGATTACCAGCCATGTGCCACTATACCAGACTAATTATTGTAGTATTTAAAATCTAAATCCAAGTTCCCAAGCCAAGCTCAGAAAGTACCCCCAGGGCTTATTTAAAGTGCTTAGAGAGGGCTCCATTGATAAAACCAAGAATCTAACAGAAATCTGTTTGTCATTCCTTTATTTTAATTAACAGACAAAATACTCATTTTAGTATTTCTTCCTGTACCAGAATGTCTTTCAACACTATAAATCCGCATCAAGTGAGCATGTGCAGCTGATATCACAACACATTTTAAGACCCAAAATGCAGCTGATCTACTGCTTGACTGAACACTGCAAGCCTGTATTTGGTCTGCTTTGCAGGGTTTTTTTATTTTTTAAAAAATTTATATATTAATTGGTACATTTTAGGTATACAACACATTTACATTTATCACTGGGTGTTTGTACCTGAACATGACGTATCTTAGTTCTTATTTTTTCCCCCCATTACTAATCTATGCACCCTTCACCCCTCCACCCTTCCCTATTTACATAGATTTTGTTTCCATTTTTCTTTCTTTTCTCATAATTTCTCCTTTCCATTCTTCCCTTTCCCCTTCCCCTCCTGCCACCCCTACACCTTTGGACCTTTTCCTATTTCAAATTATCAGTTATTTGTTTTAATCATTTTCATCCTTATTTACACTTTCAGTTTCTCACACCAGAGAAACTATTCAGTATTTACACATGTGTGTCCTATTTATTTCACTTAAGAGTATGGCCTCAACATGCATCCATTTAGCTATAAATGTCTCTAGTTTCTCATTCTTTATGGCTGAGTAGTACTCCATTTTATTTTTAAAAAACCACAACTTCTTTATCCAGTTTCCAGTCCATGGGCACTAGGGCTGTTTCCAAGCTTTAGCTATTACAAACTGTGCCACTATAAACATGGGTGCACATATATCGCTGTGATACAATTCTTTTAATTCTTTGGGGAAGATACCCAGTAGGGGAATAGCTGGGTCAAATGGGACCTGTAGTCCTAGTTCTTTGAGGTATCTCCATATGGATTTCCACAGTGGTTGCACCAGTCTGCACTCCCACCAACAATGGAGAAGGGTTCTGCTTTGCAGTTTAAACTGTCACATAATACAAAACACACCCACGAAGGACCTGAAGTTTAAGATAGAAAACACTGGCGCTGAAACATTAAGTTAATGAAGTATATAAAAAACATTCTAATTGCAACTGCCTTGGAAGTCTTCCTCTGATATGTAACTTACTTTCATCAGATCCAAATGTTCAAATAGTACACTAAGGTATCAACTAACACTTCACAAACCAATGCTGGTAAGAGAAAAACATACAGGCCGGGTGTGACTCAGGGGCAGGGCACTTGGCTAGCACGTGTGACAGGCAGGCGGAAGGGGGCAGGGAAGAGGAGGGGGAGGGACAGAAAACATGGACTGTTCAGTAACAGCATGTGGATTTCCCATATGCAAGGCCTTGGCTTAGCCCTATATCTCCTCACCCTAAAAAGACTGAGAAAATACAGTGACCACTACATTTAATGCCTTTTAGTTACTTGATAATAATACATGCACTCATTGTTATGTTATTTTGGGAGATTTTCTTATAAATAGAACCCTAAAAAATCTTTCTTTTTAAAAATTTATTTATTTATTTATTGGGGGGGGTGCCGAAGATCGAACTCGGGTCCTTGCGCTTGTGCAGCAGACAGCGAAATCACTGAGCTAAATCCCCGGCCCCTTTCTTATTATTTAAAACAAGTCAAAATGATTTTAAGTTTTTTGAGACAAGGTCTCACTGTGTAGTCCAGGCTGGCCTCAAACTCATTGCAATCCTCCTGCCTCAGTCTCCTGAGTGCTGGGATTACAGGTGTACACCACCATAACCCAGCCTAAAGGATATTTTTAAAGACAAATTTTAATCCTAAATAACAAGCTGTGGATCTATTTCTGGATTCTAAACATAAAATTTCATTTACAATAACGTCACTTTAAAAATGAATGTCATTTGATAAAAAAAAAATTCTATCATTAAAAAAAATTGGGGGGGGGGATACCAGGGATCGAACTCAGGACCTTGTGCTTGTGAGGCAGGCAGTGGAACCACTGAGCTACATCCCGGGCATTAAAAGATTTTTATGTGGGGGCTGGGGATTTAGCCCAGTGGTTTTGCCTCCTGCTGTGCAAGTGCAAGGACCCGAGTTCAATCCCCGGTACAAAAAAAAAAATTTTTATGTGGGTGTTATATGAAAATATTTCATGATGGGGCCAGGGATGTAACTCAGTGGCACTGTGCCTGCCTGGCAAGCACAGGGTCTCAAGTTGGATTCCTGGCACCAAAACAAACAAACAAACAAAACTTAATGATGGAAATTAACAAACAACATTGGGATCAAAAATATAAAATTAAAACCACTTGTTATACACATAGAATGATGATAATTATTTGAAGGAATACATATAAATGGGAATGGGTCTGAAAGTAAAAACAAGACAGGTTATCAGTCATGATGGTGCATACCTGTAGTCCAAACTACTTAGGGGGATGAGGCAGGAGAATGGCTTGAGCCCAGGAATACAAGGTCAGCGTGGGACCATAACAAGATCCTGTCTCAAAAATGATTAAACTACTACAATTTGTCTGGAGGGTTCTTTTTAATTTTCATTTAAATATACATGAACTTCAAAATACAAAATTCCCAACTCAAAGACACAATGCTATATTCATGTAAAATCTTCACTCAAAGAATCTAGTTTTCCTTGGTGCTCCAATGGTGCAGAAAATGGTGAGACATGTCCCGATGCCCCATTTCTACAAAGTTAGCGATCTGTCTGCCTCACACATTACCGGGCACTGATAGAGAATTATGTGATTTGGTATTAAAACCCTTTTCTGGGCCGGGGATTTATCTTAGTGGTTTTGCCACCTGCTGCGCATGCGCAAGAACCCAAGTTCAATCCCCAGTACCAAAAAAAAAAAAAGCCTTTTCTAGTGCTGATGCAGTAAGTAGGCTACATCTACCTCCAGAAAGCTGCAGAAAGCCAGACTGGGTACAGTAGGCTTTCAGTAAATAATAGGTGCCTTCTTTCTCCAATCCCAAACCACCTTGATTGGAAGGAAATATACATGATGTCACTAATGCCCTATTAAGGGATTCTACTGTTGCCCGAGACATTCTACTTCACTTCATTTCATTTTCTTAAGCTCCACATACCAGTCAGGGCACATATAACACAATACTGCCATCAGAGACAAATACAAATGGGCCCTGAGGCCAAAGAAAGTATCACAGAGCAGCATCTCCCAAACTGGTGTCCTGAGGATTATAAATAGCAGTCTATTCACATACAGGCCTTTCTTGCAGAATTATGGGGCACCTTTGTCAAAGGACCCAGAGAAACTCCAAAAGGGGACTTGGTATGTATCACGGGACCATGGGTTGGGCAAAGCTAATAGAGTACAATTCTGCACACAGTTTAGCAAACACTGCCATCAAACACTCAATAACCATGGAGCCCGAGAAATAATCAAAGGCAAATCAACGCCTCTCCCCAGTGTCTACAGAGCGATTCTCAGAGAAAGGCCCTTTGTTCCGGCAGAAGCAGGGATGGGCATCTCCTCACTCCGAAGAGACTGGCCAGCCTCGGTGCTGTACAGACCACACAGTTCCCATAAGCTGTTCACCATCCCACCCCACAGTTCGGGGCCGGTCCTCGCACTTAGCCCAGGACAGGACTCCGAAGGAAAAGGCAGCCCTGTTGAAGCAAACTTACCATAGCAGCTCTCACAGGCTCGACCTAAGAGGGGATTCTGGGGCTGGAACGTGCTCCCCACTGCTCCATTCACAGTGCCAGGCTTGCCATTGCTGGTGGATATTTGGTTGGGGTTTGGTTTGCTGCTTTCAATGAAATGTAAAGTGAGGTGATAAAAAGATTTGTACAACAAGGCAAAAAGCTCAGTATCTCCTTACTAATTTACCTTAACTAAACAGACATAAACTGGTAAAAACAAGGTGTTAAAGTGAACCCACTCATGTTTACAAAACAAGGTATGTAACAACCAGCCTCTTGTGCCTGTCCCAGTAAAAGCAGCATCTCTCTTGTGTTTCCAAAGGCACTTTAACCCTTAGACTCTCAAGTTGCTAGGTTTCACCACTCATCATAAATTCTCCCAAGAAAATAACAGTTTGGATCAAATAACTTGGAGCTAAAGAAAGTGATATGTGATTGCAGAAAGCAAGCCACTGCTCCGTTCCTGCTGCAGCCTCCTTGCCTGCTCTGGAGGGAGAGGCATCAACACACATGTGGGAGCCACAGGGCCTCTCCCTGCAGCCGAGTTAGCATTTAAGAGCTCCTGACCACCTGTCCTACTCCTATGACAGCAACTCCTAATATGTTTGGATTTCTACGAAGAAGATTGAAGAGCACGTAAAATTAGAAATATCAGTAATTTTGAGATTTAAGCTTTTTCATTTTAAGAAAATCATTTTTAGAAGGAAAAAGGAGGCATCATAAGTTTATATGCAAATTTCCTAGAGACCAAGTCAACATAACCACTAATTCTTCAGAAACATGTAGTCCAGAAATATGTTGGTACTTATTCTGCAAACATCGCTAACTCGCTGTATGTAACAAGCTACACCCAATCACAAATGCACATGGCATGCATAGTTTATTCAGCATATATCTACTTGGTGTCTAGTAAACAAAAATGTATGACTTCAAGGAGCTTCATTCTAGAGGACCTTTCATGTCTATTTTCTAGATAGAAAGTAAGCAAAATTAATTAACAAATTTAGAAACAAATGCTGAGTGAATAATTGGAGACTATGCTCTGTTGGCAGATGATATTCTGTCTTTCCATGGCTCCTCATGCAATGAGATATCACAACCATCAAGACACCTGGAATCTCAGAGTTGGCTCAGGGATTTCCTCTTTCCACAATTTCACTTAACAGTCAAAGCCTAGGGTGTAAATTCGGTGTGGCCTGAGAACAAACACTTTACCTAAGATTTCCTTTTACACTGTTACTGTGACTCTCAAGTGATGGCCCCACCTCCACACCCAGTAGTCACTTAACCTCTATGTGCGCTGAAGTCCCTATTCTGTAAGACAGGGCTGTCTAATGTGTCAGCAGTGTATTTTGAAAACAATACATTTTTTGTTTTTTATTTTTGCAGTGCTGGGATTAAACCCAGGGATTCACAAATGCTAGCTGAGCACTCTACCACTACTCAAGCCTGACAAATTGCTTTTTTAAAAAAACGTATTAAATCAGACAGAAGGTGTTTCTCTTAGTTTTCAGCTAAAAATGTACAAAATAAAAAAGTGGCAGAGAAGTTTTCCATGGATACATAGTATTTATTTAAATTTTTAAAAAATATTATATGTCAGGTATAGAGGCACATGTCTGTAATCCCAGCTATTCACTCAGGAGACTAAGGCAGAAGGATCACAAGTTTGAGGCCTGCCTAGGCAACTTAGTAAGACCCTGTCTCAAGGCAAAAAAAAAAGAAAAAAAGAACTTTAAAGGGGTAGGTGTGGATCTCTAGCTTAATGGCTCCTTGGGATCAATTCCCAGAATTGCCAAAACATTCTACTATATAGAAATGACTGCTCCTTGAAGTCACATAATTGGCTAGAAGTTTCTCAGAAATATGCATGCACACTACTGATATTTAAACATAGAGCTAAATATATGTGCTGAAAAACAGCTAATACAAATTTATAGGTGGGCAGTCTGAAAAAAAATAAAAGCAAACACTTTAGTTGTTCAAATGAATCTAGAATGTTATTTGACTATACCAGATTTCTCACCCCCCTCTACCCCACCAAAGTCAGAATTGAACCCAGGTCTTACACCTGCCAGGCAAGTAAGTGTTCTATCACTGAACTATATCCCAGCCTTTTTTTTTTTTTTTGATACAGTTGGGCCAAATTGCTGAGGCTGACCTTAAACTTGTGATCCTCCTGCCTCAGCCTCCTAAGGAGGTGGGCTTATAGGTGTGTGCCACCATGCTCAACAAACTAATGACCTTAAGTATAATAACAAAAGGAAAAAAAGTGTGTCAATACTACATGTACACTTGTGAATCACTTAAACTATCTCTATAAAACCAAGTAAAGATTAGATCTAAGGGACAAATGATGGATGTCATTGTGACAATTTATTTGTAATACAAACATTAAAAAGTTTTTAAAGATATAGTATATGAACTTGTCCCTCCTTGTATCTAGGCACCCAACCCACCCCTCATTTGTGCTGCAGACTCCAACCTTCTAAGCCCTCCAAGATTTTGTCCACTTGATTCTCTTCCCTACATCATCCTCTTATGACCAGTCACACGCATCTCTCCCATTGCTGTCCCTCCTTCTCTATTGTCTGCATCCTTGGCTCAAACAAGTCTTCTGGGCCACTAAAGACGATCAGCATCTCCATACAGCTATTTATTACCAGCATCTGAGAGTGTTAACCTCTCTCTTTCCCTCCTTCTTTAAAACATCTTTCTCACAGCTCCTATGATATTACACATACTTGGCTATTCGTTTTAGTCATCATACTCTATTGGTCTATAAATAGATTTATTCAAGACTCAGCTAAGGCACTTTTCTTGCTGTTCTCCCTCAGAAAACTTTATTAAGGTTTGAAACATTATTATTATATGCTGATTAAGCTCACTTTTGTAATGCTAGCTCACAGTTTTTGTCTGAGTTTAAGACAAATATATTTAACATACAGTATATGTTACCACCATATCCAACACTTCATTTTTGATAGTCCTGTCTTATTAACCTTATTATGCTAGTACTCAACATAATGCTTGGAATATAGGAGACTGCCAGGCTCAAAAAACTAATAGAAAATCATTCACAATTTAGTATATTTTGTAAACATTTTAGCCAGGGATTTAGCTCAGTGGTGCCACCGTCTGCCTCTCAAGCGCAAGGTCCAGAGTTCGATCCCTAGTACCAAAAGAAAAAAATTCTGTTTCGGAATTAATTTAGAAATTCAAAGACCTCAGACCCTTATCCAATTCAGTAACTCAGCTGCATTTTTTTTTTGTTTTGTTTTCTTTTTTTGGTACTGGGGATCGAACTCAGGACCTTGCCCTTGCAAGACAGGCGGTAGAACCACTGAGCTAAATCCCCAGCCCTCAGCTGCATATTTTTGAATAATGTATATAATTTACCTAACTTTTAAAAAGTATCATTAGAAACTGTCATGATCTCTAAAAATAATTACTTAGATCAGAGATTAGAAACCTTTTTTTGTAAGGGGCCAAAGAGCTCAGTATTTTAAGCTTTGTGGGTAATATAAGTTCTGTGGCAACCACTTAATTCTGCCATTATAGCTTTAAAGCAGACAAGACAATGCAGAAATGAACAAGTATGTCTATATTCCAATAAAACTTTATTTACATAAATGTGCTAGCTTACATTTGCCCCACAGACTATATATTTAGATCAAGACACCAAGTCAATGTAAAGTAACAATTATTTTGGTTATTTGGTCAAAATGGTTAAATGTTGGGGCCAGGGATGTAGCTCAGTAGCGCTGCGCCTGCCTGGCAAGCTCAAGATTCTGAGTTCAATTCCTGGTATGGGGGGAGGCGGTTAAATGTGCTATCCCTTCAACAGAGGAAGCACCGTGAGGTACAAGAAAGCTGTTATGTTTGCTTTTGAAAATCTAATACACATGAGTTCCAATGGTACATTCTTTGGGGAGTGTCAATTTTATAAATTAGTCAAATACATAATTTAAAAGAAATTAAAAATCACTATGCAAAAGAGATATAATTATGGACCAAGTAAATTACATATTTTAAAAAATTAAACAAGTTATCTGAACTGGGGGTGGTGGTGCACACCTGTAATCCCAGCAGTCCTGAGGCTGAGGCAGGAGGATTGCCTTGAGTTCGAAGCCAGCCTGGTCTACATAGTGAGTTCAAGGCCAGGCTGAACTACATAGTGAGACCTTCTCTCACACATACAAAAATGTTATCTGCCTAGAGGTAAAAAATTACTATGAAAGATCACAAGTTGTTTCCACAAGCCCTCTTATATATAAAAACATGTACTATGCAATGTACAAGAATTCAGTAAACAAAAGGGTATGTAAAAAATAACTAAGAATGAAAAAAAGAACCTCTTGAAACAACACATAAAAGTTTGTAATAAATTTCACTTTAATCCTAAGAGATTCTAGGATAGTACTAAATAGATGGTGTTCAATAAACAATTTTATCTGAACAAAGGAATGATCAAACCCTAAAAATCTCAACAAATGGGTATAGTCATTCAGTTAAAACATAGCAAATGAAAAGAAAACTGGCATTCATTTTGATATGACAATGATTTGTAAACTCAAAGGATAATAACAGAACTCTAGGCACCTAAAACAACCGAATCCTATGCATAACTTATTGAACATTCACACTAAGTATGGTTCTAATTTACCATTAGAACCAAGACGATGTAAAATCTTCAACCAAATAATGTGAACAACACACCTCAAAATAGCAACACACATTATCTAAAGAAAACCCATTCTATAATGTAGAAACATCAAAATTTGCTAGCTTTATGAAACACATTAGCTTCAAATAATATAGTGAATCCCATAGATTAGTTTTCTGACACTTTTCCTGAAGTTCTGATAGAAGTATAATACATGGCATTCTTTATCTCTAGCTTCATGTTAATCTGCTTGTGGTTTCTCTCATTCATTTCTTTTTCTTTCTAAAAATCTATGTAGTGGTATAAAAGAAATAGGCTTGTGCTTTGTAGGGAAGAAAGTAATATACACAAAGAAATTCAAATTCGTCTGATACTGAACAAAGTGACATGTTTTGTAATGATAGAATTAAGACCAGATCAAATATTATAAAAGATTTCAATTACTTACTAAGTTGGGATATATACTTGTTTCAGTTTACTCTCAGCTTCTGCAGCTTTTAGACGTTTCTAATTCAAAAGATGAATGAAATATTTTACATGCAATGCCTACTAGTTATTGTTACTTCATTGTCTTAAAAAATTCACAAGAAAATATTAAAGCATAACTCAAAAATTTCTATTGTAAAACAAGCTTTTCTTTCATATGCATATCCTTAAACTGTAGTAACCTGTAAGAAAAGTCACAGGATTCCGGGCTACAGAACCATAAATATTAATATTTTACACATAGATTTTTGAAACATTGCAACAAATAGCTCCATTTTCCATTCCTTCATGGGTAAACAAAAGGAATATTTTTTTCCATGCTAGAGATTGAACACAGGGCCTTGTACACACTAATAAGCGTGTACTCTACTGCTAAGCAACACCCACAGTCCCACACAAGACCTTCAGAATTAACCATTTTCACTTTTACAAATTTAGTTTCTACTTTATTTCTTACTCACCTTTCCAGGAAAAGGAAAAAAAGCACAAAATCTTTGCTTTTAGACAAATATTCAGAGATAAGTTATTCTAAAACCAAGAAAGAGACTGTAGTTTTTGTACGTAAAATTAAGGAAGCCTTTATTTTTAAATGTTAGGAGAGATGTAGTAACTAAATGTTGACTGAAACCAATTAACCAAATGCAGGGAAAGAAATAGGAAGAAGACACTAATTAACACAACAACAAACGGGGAAGGAAAATAATATAAGGTCAATGTCCAAAAATAAGACAAAACATAGGCCGGGGACTTAGCTCAGTGGTTCCAGCGCCTGTCTTGCAAGTGCAAGGTACTGAGTTCGATCCCCAGTACCAAAAAACCAAAATAAGACAAAATAGACATTAGGCTAGCCTCCATTTTCCCAATCAGAGAAAACAAAACATTTCGAGGACAGCTTGAAACTTTTAGAAAAGAGTTGAAATTTGAGGGAATAATTTTGTCCAAATACTTTTAACCATCCTTGATGTCACTGTTTCTATCATTAGATGACTTTTTTGATTTGAATAACCCAAGTTTCCAGACTACATCACCTTCTTTTCTAACCAACTTGATTCAAATAAGCACTTTTTCAATTACATATGGTGTTGACAGTAGACACTGCTCCATGGGCAATAGATTTCTATTCCCTTTTCATGACCTTAAGCAACTCATTCTGCTACCTTCTAAAGTGATCCTTAAAATATATTTGTTCAACATCCAATACCTGCCATTGTGTAACCTACATAACTTAGAAAAAAATAATGTCTGTGTTAAATCTATTTGCCTTTCTTAATGAGTTCTGATATGTGCTTGTAAGAATATAAAACTGGGGGCCAGGGATTTAGTTCAGTGGTTCTGGCGCCTGCCCTGCAAGTGCAAGGACCTGAGTTCAATCCCTGGTACCAAAAAAAAGAAGAATATAAAACTGAGGACATTTTAGGGAAGTATGCCTTTCCCCAAAGTATATTATTCAAAATAAGTAACTGAGTTACTCGAATTTAGAACAGTTGGGAAGGACTCAAAATTTAAATGATTCCTCACTTTTAAATAATCATGGAGAAGAATCTTAAGTATAGTATGAAAGAATCAAACTAGTAAGACTAAGATAAAAACAAACATACTCAGAATATTATCCACACAAATATCATGTAAGGTTTCAGAAGAAACCTTAAAAAAAGTCTCAAAGTATAAGGTTGATGACATTAGTCTCAATTTCCAATACTTCATAAAAACGGCTTGCTCAAGATGTCTGTGGCAGCACCACAACTCTGATAATTCCCATCAACTACACTCACAAACAGATGAAGCACCCGTCATATGTAAGGAAAATAATGCCTGTCTAGTGATATCTTTCCCTGTCATCTTTGAAAAATATTTATCAAAATAAACGCTGAAGTTGAGGAAATATTAAGATGACAATCTAAAACAGAACATCCTGAAGATATGGTATCATGCAGTTTAAATAGTCTAGAAAAAATAAATCAAACTAACTTAAAATTAGAGCATTGCTGAAAAACATTAAAATAAACATGATTAATGCAATCATGTTGGTGACAAAATGAAAGCATTACCTGCTGCACATATCTGTCAGTAGTTTTCCACATGTAATAATATTCAATGATGCTCGTCAATGATTTCCAAGGCAGCTGAAAAAATTAACATAATAATGAAAACAATGTTGTATAGAAAGTGCTTTCCTTTAAGACCACTTTTTTTTTTTTTTGCAGAACTGGGGATCGAACTTAGGACCTTGCGCTTGCTGGTGCCACTGAGCTAAACCTCCAGCCCTAACACCACTTCTTTTAAGGCAAATATTCATATGGAAGATTGATTGTAGAAAAACTTGTTCTAGTTTTAGTATATGTGCTGCCGAAGTGAGCCCTAGAAAAATTTATTCTTAAAAAATGTTCTGAGAAAACCAAAATTCTTACCAAAAGGTACCCCAAACAAGAAGTCCTATTCAGTGAGAGATTCAATATATTGTTTTTCATCAATTTAATTTAAAATTATAAACATGATGACTAATAATATTTCATGACTTCAAGTTCTTGGGCTACAAGTGGGGGTCCAGCACAATTTTAGAAATGCTATTTAAAGGGCTTTAGCCTGAGTTACTTTAACTTCTAAGGATGACAGCCACAACTAAGTGTCTTTTGGCTTCCAGCAAATTTCTCATCCTTTTCAAAACCACTCTGTTTTGACCAATTTTGTTATAAATAAAACAAAAAGGTAAGTCTATGAAAAAGCACACAGCCAAGTGTGCTCCCTATGAGAAAAATATTAAGCTTGCTACTGTTGTTTTCCATAAACATCCATTCTGCAATCAAAGAATATATTCAATATGCCCCTTTATAAAGGGGGATCTGTTAGCTATCCAAGATGCAAAGAGGAGATCAGACTTTCATGATGGCATAAATGGTGGATAAAATAATCCTGAGCTGTGGCAGCAGATTTTACAGAGGTGACTCAGCCCTCGGCCCTCCACAAAGCTCTTCTACCACACTGTAAGGACTGCAGAGTTAAACAGTATTTCCCACATTCCTTACAGCTGGGGTTTTGCTTGTGGCCACCTGGATAAGATGCACGCCAACGCCAACTCTTCTCACATCTCCACTGAACTTACCTGCTTGGTCTGAAGAGAAAACAGATGAATTTTAGAGAAAGAAAATTATTTTAAGCTTAAATGGGTGGTAACTCCAACAGTAGCTACAAATGTGATCACCCTACAGGACCAGAACAGCACAACCACTAGCTCTGATCTGCAGCTAAAGCAAACAGTTTTCGTTTTGTTTTTTAAACCCTATGTGTTCATCTAATAGAGTTCATCAAGACCTGACAGGACAGTCACAGCAGTTTCCTAAGGTTTTTAAGCAAGCTAAGACCTTTACCATCTATTCTTCTTTTGAGAAATAGGCTCTGGTGTGCATTTACCTGGAAACCTGAGAGAAAAGAAAGCCAAGTGACCGTGTAGAAACTGAGTTTGATTTTATCCAGTCTTGAAAGTTCCAAGCAGCTGTGCCCATCACCAGCATGGTTTCACTGAGGTGATGTGGCAGGGTGAGATGGCTACCACATGGGAACATCCCCGAGTGTGCTCCTGATGCAGACCACTTCTCCTGTGGTCCTCACCTACAGCATCACAGGAGTTCCCTGTGACACATCCATTGAAGTGAAAAATGTGAATGTTGCTTGTGGTTTTGCATGAAATACTGGTAGCTCCAGGAATTATACTGCTGCAGCATTTCAACCCTATGTAGAAGTAGCCTTGAAGTACAGTGAATAAGGAAGCTCCTTCGGGTTAGAACACTAAGGTGAACATCTGGGTTTTACTACTTTTAGTAGGAGGCAAGATGACCTCTTAAAATTACAATCAAAAGCACTCTAGCTAATACAAAACTGGTAAGCAGCAGCACAACATTCTAATAACAGGCCCTACATATGCAGCACTGACTGACAAGAGTCAAGGTGGTGCAAAACCAAACAAGACTGGTGGTAGAGACAGCAGATGCTATGGTGGGATTTCGGCTGGCACAGGCAGCTACAGGGTTAGGCTACACTCTTGGCTTCACTGCTTCTGGCTATGAAGCATCTAAACCTGGATCACAGGCCCTCCAAGAGGTTCTCTTATGCTTCCAGCTCTAAACAACACATTTTGTTCTAAAAACTAGTGCAGTCAAATGGATTCTTCTATCTCCAATGTTGGCTTGTTCAGCATCCCGCCTCCCCAATTTCATTAGTTCACTTTCCTATACTGCAAACACTATAATCCTTTCTAAAAGTTCTTTGTTATTTATTTCTGCTAATCAGATACATGTGTTTAGATGCAAATTCAAAACTGAACAAATCAAGGTGGGGCTGGGGATGCAATTCAGTGCAAGAGCATTTGCCTAGTATATTCAAGTCCCTGGGTTCAATCCACCACACTTGGCAACAACAATAATAAAATTATCTATTGAGAAACAAAGGTCATAATCGATAGTCATAAACGGATGCATAAAACACCTTACAAAATTCAACATCCACTCCTGATAAAAACTCTCAGAAAACTAGAACAGAACAGAATTTCCTTGACTCAAACACAAAGCCCATCCAAAACACCTACAGCAGATCTCACACCTAACAGTAATGATAAAACAAAAAAAACCCTGGACTTCAAGTGTGTGCTGGTAATTGAACCCAGGGCCTCAGGCATGCCACTTACTGAGCTATATACCCCAGCTCAACTTTTTAAATATACAAACACATAACATACTCAAATGGGAAAACCAAGATATTGGAATTGAAAACAACATTTCATTTCTGAATAGTATGGTGATACAAAACTTAAAACTAACCATTATGACACAGTTGCTCAGGGCTCAAGTAAAGCTTAAGTACTGGAGGGAAGGAAATCATAAAGAGTTTATTTTGCACACACTACCTGGTAATTTTTAGGGAACATACCTACTAAAATCTCTGAGGAGTACAGTGCTCAATACAACATGTACATCATGTATATGTGATGGCACTATAGGCTGTATGAATGTGTGTTTTCATGTTCTATTGAGTGTACATAATACTTTCAAAAGAGGGGAAGCCAGTTAGGGTGGTATGTGCCTATAATCTCAGACTGGAAAATACAGTGACTTAATGAGATCCTATCTCAAAATATAAACTTTAAATGTATAATAGGTAATGTGAAATAGGAAGAAAAGGGGCAAAGGGGAAGGAAGTGGGAGGGATAGGGGAAAGGATAGAAGGGAATGGGATTAATATGAGAAAATGGAAAAATACGAACAAAATCTTTGTAAATAGGGAGGAATGGAGGGGTTGAAGGGAGGGCTGGGCAAGGGTGAAAAATAACCAAGAGAGACTATGTAAAGGTGCAAATTTCCAATGATGAATGTCATTATATTGTATACCTAAAATGTACCAATGATTGGAATGAATAATCGATAATGTAAAATAGGAAGAAAAGGTCCAAAGGGGTAGGGGTAGTGGGAGGGGCAGGGGAAAGGAAAGAAGGGAAAGGAAAAATGATGAGAAATGGAAAAAATGGAAATAAAGTCTTTGTACATAGGGAAGGGTGGAGGGGGTGAAGGGAGGGCTAGGAATGGGGAAAAAATAAGAAACAAGATGCATTATGTAAAAGTACAATTCCCAATGAGAAATGTAATTGTGTTGTATACCTAAAATGTACCAATAAAAGAATTTAACATAAAAAATAAAAAACTTTAAAAGGAGGGCTAGGAATATAGCTCGCTTGCGAAGGCTTGGGTTCAATGCCCAGTAAACTAAAAAAAAAGAGGGAAGCTTGGCATGGTGGTGCATGCCTGTAATACCAGCAGGAGTAAGCTGAGCCAGGAAGACCACAAGTCCAGCTTGGACAACTCAGTGACTGAGCAAGACCTTGATACCAAAAAAACAAAACAAACAAACAAAAAACTCAAAAAACTGCTGGGGAAACTCAGTGCACAGGCCCTAGGTTCAATCATGGATACCAGAATGAATGGCTGGCCTAAAAATACCTCCTACTACTATAAATAAACACCAAACTCTTGGAACAGTCTCTTGACATTCTATCTTGTTCATGAATATAATAATGCTGTTGGGGTTTTTTTGGTTGTTGTTACCTTCATAAGATAACAAAATTCTTACAAACTGGTAGCATAGTATATATTTTTACTTTTGTTATACTCCAGTCTGCATGAAAAGGTTACTGAAACATTAAGTCCTAGGGAAAATGAAGAAAAGACCGTAGACTTGCCTTCTAAGAATGACCGTCAGTCTTACTGCAGAAGCGGCTAATGATCAATGCTGTCATCACTGTGTGACCAGAAACTCAACTACCAAACTGGAAGGCTACTTTTCTACCTCTGGCTCCAAGATGCTGTGCCTCTACAATGATCCCTACAGGCCTGATGCTTTTTGAATCAGATCTGACTCTCTTGCCACTACATCTATGCTACAATCCAAATTATATCCAGAATCTTAGATGCAAGGAAGTCTGGGAAATGTGGATTTTAACCCAGATGCTCCCCTAGAATGTGGTTTGAACATGTGGTTGATAGGCCAATCCAGTTAAGATTTGTTGTATTTTAGAGACCGGAATTAGACAACAGAGTCAAAAACCGCAAAATGTTTTGTTAGATCATGAAAGTAACCAAAAAAATTCCAAAAGCATTACTATATTCATTTTCATATAGTGACTTTATTTTGTGATAACATCAGCCTCTATGTTCAAAAATACTGGGCCGACACCCTGTTCAGATTCCTTTCCTAGTTCCCTATTAAATGTCTGGGAATATGTCTGCAAATCTTGTACCTCAGTTTTGACTTTGCCGTGTACTCTTTCTTCTCTGCCTGTACCTTCAGAGATCTGGCTAAAACACCAGGTACTCCTTTAAGCCTCTTTTTAACTGGCCCAACTATGCCTTCCCAGGCAGGTGGTGGAACCACTGAGCTAAATCCCTGGCCCTTGGTTTGTTTGATTTTTGAAACAGGGTCTTGCTATGTGTCCCAGGCCTCCCTCAAACTCATGGCTTCCTACTGCCTCAGCCTCCCACATGCTGAGATTATAGTTGTGTGCTACCACCCCAGGCTGGAAAAGGAGTTTCACTTATTTCTCACCTTCTATTCCTTTATCAGACCTGCAGATTTTGTTCTTTAAGAGATTTGTTCTTGCAATCTCTATATAGTTATGTAGCTCCATTATATGAATAACTGCTATATTAATATCTCTGCACTGTTATGTTTTTCTGACCATCTGACTACATACCACCAATGCGTTTTAAATTCCCAGGTGCACATCCAACAAATTTAAATTGCGGGGGCCGGGGATTTAGCTCAGTGGTTCCTCTGCCTGCGTTGCAAACACAAGGTCCTGAGTTTGATCCCCAGTACCAAAAAAAAAAAATTTAAACTGCAGCATGTAACTATTTGGGTATGAATGAGTTTTTGCCAGAACAAATGTCAGTGATACTAGCAACTTTAATTACTGTGTTTGGAATTCAATGTATTAATACATATTGATAAGTAATAATTTTGCTTCACAAAACAACATAAAAGGCAGGATACTGTATCACATCAAATATGACGGTCTGTGGGAAGATTCTATTTCTATAATTTAAACAATAGCTTCAACAGAAATCTACTATGAGCTAGCTAGCTAGCTATGTATGTATGTATTTATTTATTTATTTTGGTACCGGGGATCGAACTCGGGTCCTTGCGCTTGTGCAGCAGGCGACGAAACCACTAAGCTAAATCCCCAGCCCAACTATGAGCTTTTTAAATAAACTCTTCCCTTATTTCAAAGAGTTTACGCTTCACTAAAGCTTATGAAGCCCATAAATGCAACAAATGCATAAATTCTCATAAAGGCAACAAATGGAAGTACATAATATGCAACAAAAGGAAGCCCATAAATGCTCATAAATGCAACAAAAGGAAGTACATAATATAGCAGACAAGACTACCTAGAATTTAAAATGTAAAGATGTTAGATCTGAAGTGCCCTCAACACACCTACAGTAACTGCGAGAGTGCATGTGTAAACTTAATTGTGACTGTGACCACTAATCTTGCTATGTCAATTTCACTGCACTAAGAAACACCTAGCAAATTAGTAAAGCACACTCACACTCCTGTGTAGGTCATGGAAGAGAGACCTTAGGTCCCATACATGGTTCCCAACTTGCTTCTCTCTAGTACTGTTCTACTCTGCTTCCTGGCTGCCATGAACCAAGTAGCTTTGTTCCTCCATGCCCTTGCTTACCAGAGACTGAATTCCCTTAAAATGTGAGCCAAATTAAACTCTTCCTTCAAATTTTGAGTGTTGGGTACTGTGTCCAGCAACACGAAAGCTGATTAATACAGAAAACCCGTATCAGAGATGTAGGGCCTTTGCTGTAATTGTACCTGACCATGAAGTGCAGAAGCTTTTGGAACTGATTTGTGTAAGAATTGTGGAAAGATTTAGGGATGCAGGCAAGTGTGGCCTTAAAATGCGGTAAACATTGTCTGATGGGTAATTCCAGTCAAAACTCTAAACACAAGAATCCTGACAGGGCTGTGGACAGTAAAGGGCAAGATCAGGATGTCTGAGTTGGGAGCAAGGACTTTACTGGCAATTGTACTAGAAGTCATGTGTGCTACACTCTGGAAGAAAATGTTACCTGTATTTTGTCCACATCCTGGGACTTTGTGAGAGACAAAGATTAGAGTGGTGAACTAATCTGGGGCAGAAAATTCCAAGACAGCCCAACATTCAGGGTTTGGCATAGATAATGCTGGTGGCTTTTGGCCAGATTTATCATTAGAACTGGAGGTAAAAGGAAGAGCAGAAATTTTTGAAAACCTTAAGCCAAGTGCTTTGCACAGGACCAAGAAGAAAGACGTCCATATTGTCATTAAGAAGAGCCAAAGACTGACTCCCACCATAAAGCAAATTCTGCTGCTCTACTTGAAGGGATCACTTTTATATTACAAGTCTGCTTCAAATTTAGGTTCAACTACTAAGTTGAACACTTAGTACAAAAAAAAAAAACAAAAAACCAAACAGGGCTGGGGATTTAGCTCAGTGGCATCTCACCTGCCTGGCAAGCACAAGGTCCTGAGTTTGAGCCCCATTTCCAAAAAAACAAAAAGCAAAAAAAACCCAGAAGCTGTAAAGGAGAATCATGGGCCTAAATGCAGAGATGAGAAACATTTAGCAAAAGTGGTCAAAACTTTCCGTATTTTAACTTAGAACTCAGAACTAAAGAGAATAAATTCATACCATCAAATTTACACTGAGAACTCAGGGCTTCTTATCATTGGATCTTATTTACACTTACTGCCCAGAACAAATACCAGTTTCTCCCTTGAATGACTGGCCTTCATTCTATTTTGAGCAGATAAAAATCACTATGTTAGGGGATAAGGGTGTAGCTCAGTGGTAAATAACATGCTCTGCATGCTCAAAGCCCTGCTTCTGATCCACACACCCCCAAAAAATTTACTACAACCTATATAGGCTTGCTAAATGAATACTACAAAGGGTTACCAGATTCCTAAATGAGATAAAATATTCCTAGCCCAACATTTTATTTTATTCACAATTTTCTACTTACAAAGTCTTGACGTATATCATTGAAGTCTTTGCCATATTTTTCCAATGCCTCTTCAAATAAGCTAGCTTCAGAGGCTGACCATTCTTCCATTTCATCTCTGCATAAAACAGGTCCTCCAAGTGGTACCAAGACACTAATTGCACTGCTCAAGTCATAGCCATGTCTGTACAACGTATCCATAGCATGAAACTAGAGAAACAAAAATGAATAGGAAATGTCAACTAGATATGCATATTTGCTAGATTATTTCAGAAGAAAAACATTAAAATGAATTAATAACAAAATAACTTAAGCAGTACTTTTAAAATTAAAAAAACCAGAATGGATTGCAAAATAAGTATTTAAAATTTCATTTGCTGCTTTAAAAAAATGTTGACTTGTTCCAGGTGTGGTGGCGCACGCCTGTATTTCAGTTACTTGAAGACTGAGATAGGAGGATCACAAGTTCAAGGCCAGCCTGAGTAACTTAGTAAGACTGTGTCTTAAAAACAGGCTAGGGATATAGCTCAGTGGTAGGATGTTTGTGTAGCATATGCATAGCTTGGATTTAATGCTCAGTAACAGCAAAAGGGGTGGGAGGTAGGATGTGAAAATGCTGAATTGTACCTTTTTAGGGTGTGTATGCCAAGGTTACTTGAGTTATATAAAATTCATACAGCTTTTCCTGGCTAGGGAGAAATGGATAATGTATCAGAGAGTGAGAAAAAATATTCTAGGGTAATGGAGAAAAAATGAGAACCAAGATGCACTATATAAAGGTACAATTCCCAATGAGAAATGTAATTGTGTTGTATACCTACAATGTACCAATAAAAGAATTTAATACAAAAAAAAAAATATTCTAGGGTTAGAATAAGAGAAGAAATGAAAAGAAACCAATGGACTGGAATATGATACTTAAGACAAAACAAAATGATATATCCATGTTAAACAGGCAAAACAAAAACAAAAGTGCATATTCATGTTAAAATGGTAACCTGAGATTTTGGAAAACCAAGAACAGATGACCAAGTTTGCTTACAACACATAGGGTGATGTGCTTCCTATACATTTCAACCAAGTGTCTTGAAAAGAAGAAAGACAGGGCCAGAGATGTAGCTCAGTGGTGTCGCACCTGCCTGGCAAGTGCAAGGTCCTGAGTTCGATCCCCAGTGCCAAAAAGAAGAAAAAAACAAAAAACAAATACCGAAAGGAGTAAAGACAGATTGGTGCATATTATCACCTGGTGCTTAAGATCAGCTTTTTATTTTTTCCCCTTTTCCTTCGGCAAAAGTACCTCAGGTCTAGCTTACTTAAAAAGCATTTTTCTGCACTCAGAACAATGAATAAAGTAGGTTCGAAAACCAAGTTTTAAAAACCTTCGATGGGGCCGGGGATTTATCTCAGTGGTTCCGCCGCCTGCCTTGCAAGCACAAGGATCTGAGTTCGATCCCCGGTACCAAAAAAACAAAAACAAAAACCTTAGATGGTTTTTCTACTGGAGAGAGAGATTCATTCATTCATAACATGTACATACACTTTGTATAACAGGAAAATCGCAAAACAGGACAATCAGCTGTGTACACACACTAAGGTTTGCAGACTTGGTGACAAGGTGAGTCAATCCTTGCCCAAGTGAGAACTAGTTCTTTTCCATTCCTTCCCATCCAGACTTTCTAACACATAAACACTGAGTCTTCCATCTTTTATACAAAGTACCTTCTGCTACTGATTAATAACTTCACAGATGGGAGATGGCTTCATTTCTATACAACAATTAAGTCTCTTAAAATTGAATTACTATTTAAGTGATTCCTGAATATGTGGTAAGGAACTGTGGAAAGTTCCCTATGTGTATAAGAACATGCAATAAATTCTAATATCAACTAATACATATAAAGAGAAAAATGATTAGCCAAGTGTGCACGAATCGTATATATTTACAGAATAAGAACAGAGTGTGAATCTACTGACAGAGCTAATGCAGTATTTAGAATATGGAAATAAGTTTGGAAATAACTAAACTGCTTTAATAAGGGTTGACATCTCACTTAAATCATGATTCTACTAAACAAAAGCCAAGCAGACTTTTCATTATAAATTTCCTAGTTATAATCACCAAACCCACTGATACTATACAGTCTTGCTGTATGTGTCACAATCATCCAAGTGAATTTCTTTTCTCCCTTTTTTTGGGGGGAGTGGGGGGTGGAATATGAGTCAAGGTCTTGGTATATAGTTCAAGCTGGCCTGGAATGCACTATGTATAGTTCAGGCTGGCCTTGAACTCACTGCAATCCTCCTGCCTCAGCCTCCTGAGTGCTATTTCAGTTGTGTACCACCACATCCGGCTTCCAACCTTCTGTGGCAGGGGTTGCAAAAACGCCAATCAAGAATTGATCTTGATTCCTTACATATTATGATCTTGATTCCTATGGATATTATGTGCCCTGCAAATTATAATATCAACAGACGCTTGCTTGTCTAGCTAACCTCATTAAGCAGACTGCAATTTAGCATCAGCTCAGTATTTACTTTCATATACTTTTACATCACCTCTGAAACTAGTTTCTGAGTAACTGATTGATGAAAATGAAAAAAATCAATACCATTTAGAGATCTCTATAATTAATAATATCCCCACAAGTCATTATTTTATAACTTCCTAAATCCATCCCCCTATCCCCCCCATATCGGGAATCAAACTCAGAACCTTGCGCTTGCCAGGCAGGTGCAGTGCCACTCAGCTACATCCCCTACCCTTTAAATTTATAATTGATAACAAAACTAAAAGATTATGCTGGGCGTGGTGGTTCACTTCTATAATCCCAGCACTTGGGAAACTGAGGCAGAAAGATTGCCAGAAATTCAAGCTTGAGGCCGGCATTAGCAACATATCAAGACCTTGTCTCAAAAATACCCAAAACATGAAAAAACAAGCAAACAAACAAAGCTAAAAGATTAAATGATTTTTCAAAATTCAATAATTATACAAATTAACTGATGAAGACATTTTTCAAGAGATAAAAGCAATTTTTATAATTAACAGGTGCTCTGAAACAAAAAGACACAGAACTAAATGCATTTGTTACACCAACCACTCAAAACCTCTCAAGCCCACATTTAGCCAGGGATTTAGCTCAGTCTACCTCACAAGCACAAGGTCCTGAGTTTGATCCCCGGTACCAAAAAAAAAAAAGACTAGACTTCAAGCCCACATTTAAATCACAGCCCAGAGAAGAGTGCAGTACTATTCCACATGGTAGAAAGGAAACATCTCACCAGGTTTGTGCACTGGGGGGGGGGGGGGTGTCCTAGGGCACAATTCTATTGAAATCAATGATAATGTTCACCAAGAAAACCAGAGGATCACATTATTTGCTAAATGTCCAAATTAATCCCATCTTTTTGGCACACAGATGTTTCTTTTAAACAGATTTTTACACAGTTTCACTCTACCCTTTTTTAAAAGCTCTAGGTAAAACATAAATATAATTTCTACCCCAGAAGAGACAATATCCAATAAAGGACATAAGCTATGAAAGAATACAGTTGTTTGACATACAACCAACAATTTAAGGTTCATCATCACTAAGATAATGAAAATTTGAAGATCCAGAGAAGTTTAAAAACAGGAACGACTAGACATTTGGTGAGTAAAGTCAAGATACTGGCTGGCAAGGAACATGAAGGAAAACTTTTGAGGTATGATATACTTTATCTAAATCTGGTGATGGTCATACGGATGTATGCACAGGTAAGATTTATAAAATGTACAACAAAGTGCAGGACAGTACAAATACACATATAATTTATCTCAACTTAAAATAAGAAAAAATTTAATAAGCATAAAATCCCTAAAGTCTTCCCTTTGCAAAAATACCATCTTTCCAATAGATACACACATTGCAAGATTCATTCAAATATAAATTTTAAAAATCATCACCCAGCACAAGTTGTTCTCTCTGCCAATAAGTGGTGAAAGTGTTGTCACATTTCATCTCATTCATAACAGATGGAGATGACAAACAGAGGTATTTTAGGAGAAAGACTGACAAGGAAATCTTGGCAGTGGAATTCTCATCTTTTGTTCATTAAGCAGAATACTATGGTTAATTTGATTGTTGTTCAGCAAATATTCTTACCCCAAATCTCCCAAAGAAACTTCTCTCACTGCACTGATGTTAGGATTGGCCATGTGACTTGTTTGGCCAGGACAATGTTAAGATATGTGTCCTGGGGGGGCCGGGGATTTAGCTCAGTGGTTCCACCACCTGCCTCACAAGTGTAAGGTCCTGAGTTCGATCCCTGGTACCAAAAAAACAAAACAAAACAAAACAAAAAAGATATGTGTCCTGGACAGAGACTGGACATGTGTTTGTTCATCTGGTCTTGCCCTCTTGTGCTACTGACTTCTGTGTGCACAGGATGAGAGCTACACAGGGCAGATTTACACCCAACATGTAGCTTGGCACTTATGTCAGCTCGATGTAGTTTACTAGAATCCTTGACAATCTGCAGATGAGTATGAGAAACCAATGTTTGTTGTTATAGGCCCTAGAAATTTGGGGCAGTGTGATAGACTTTCCCCCCTTAAAGAACAGAGAACTTACCTACATGCCAAAAGTGCTGGGAACACACAGCCCTCATTCCCCTTGGTTTTCTAAGGAATTATCTCAATTAAAGAAAAGTTACTGCTCTGGGTAGCCTACACTTACAGATGCAAGATGCAACTGCCCCAACCAGAGAGAACCCTTCGGTATTCCCTGTGAAGTCAGATAAGGCCTTTGTTCAGACTGCACCACAGCCTACCTTCTCCCAATATCCAGTCCGGCCTCCAACCCTCCTCTGCAGGTGTTAATTCCAAAGACATTTCCAATTAAAATTTCTTTCATGAAAAACATCCTTACAATCTGCTTCCCAGGAGACTCAACCTGTCATACAGCACTGTTATGACAGCACCTAACTAATACACATAGGTGTTCAATACTATGATTTGCTCAGAAATAGTTTTACAAAGCATAAATGAGAACATGCAAAATATCACATCTACTTTGTTGAGCATAAGGTTTTTTTCTTCAAGCAGAAAGTGAATAAATATAGGGGGGAATGAGATAAAATTAAATTTAAAAAAAAAAAGAGCTGGGGATTTAGCTCAGTGGCACCGCACCTGCCTGACAAGCATAAGGTCTTGAGTTCAATCCCCAGTA